GGAGGGGCGGGGCGGGAGGGACCCGGGAGGGACCCGGAGCTGGATACAGGAATGCAGGCAGAGCTGGCTGGAGGCGGGCACACATCTGTGTGAGAGACAATGATGTCAGCATTTCCTTCTGGGGTGGTCACGTGGTGCTTGCCAGGTAAACAGACTGGAAATAGACTCCATAAAGGCAGCGCCTGCTGGGGGAGGCGGAGGCGGAGGCGGAGGCGATCCGCTTCACCCTTTCCTCTCTGCAGCGGCCTCCAAAAGCAGGTTTTCCCCTTCTGTGACATGGCGGTCTCTGGGTGCAATTGCATTTTTACAAGCCAAGGAGTATGGCTCTGGGAGGAAGTGCTATTTGCTTTTGTAATTAGCTCAAGGAGTTTAGAGACATTTTGATATAAAAGGAGAGAGGAGAGAGAGCGAGATCTGAACTGAGTGACGTGAGTGTTTTGGTTTTGGGCCGGGATTACTTATCCTGCCGAGTCTCCTCTGCAAGGCAGGCAGATGGATCTAGATTAAGGATGAATTGGAAGGGCCACAGTGTAGAATGAAAGGATCAGATGCTGGCATTATCAACATTAGGAAAGATAAATTCCTGTTAGACCCAAGGAGAACGGACTAAAGGAGTGTAAGACTGTTCAGCATTTGACCACTATCAGGGGAAGAGATTAAAGCCCCAGGAAAGAGATGAAGTAAGAAAAAGACAAGTTGCAATGACTTTTAACCAGATTTCTGAAGAAGAAAACGACCCCTAAAACAAGAGCCCCCAAGCAGAACACTGGCAGGCGGTCAAGGACATTTTAAAATGAGAAGGGCAAGCAGCAAAGCTTTACCTGGAAGCAGAGTAGTTGGAGCAGGTGATTTTTCCTCCTGGAAGGTTTTAGGACTCAGAATGGTCAGGAGAGGGGGTTCAAAGTGTATGTCATTTTCTTCAAATTCCTGGAAATAGGGCCTTTGCGTTTATGATGACTTAGTTCTCTGAATAACTTCAGATTGAAAGGATACACTTTATTTTGGTTATAACTTCCTGCCCTTGTGGAAATTTGGCCAAAGTCCCTAAGAGGTAGAATGACCAACCGGCTCCATTTTCTAGGACTGGGGAGGTTCCTAGCATCAGTTGTAAATCTGGGATTGTCCTGGGCGAATTGGGACACCTAGTCTCCTTAGAGAGGCTGGGAGGCTCCGTCTTGAGAGAGAGAGAGGGAAGATAACTCATTGCTTCGCCAACATAAATCCCCTTTCTCTCATTTCTTATTATCTCTCTCCCCTCATTTCCCCCAACACTCCCTGATCAGTTTATAGCAGGGAACACTGCAAGACTAATTTGGGAATCTGTGTCTCTTTAGATGGATTTACAAGCTGTCTGAACATAGCTAAATTGAACAGTTGGCTTTGGTTGTACCTGGGAAGAGTAAGAGGGGAGGGAAAAACACACCCCTGTAGCTTGACCTGCCCCCCCACCC